ATCTTTTATCTTCTTTTAAAGTGATTGGCTCACAAGGAAAGTGCTTATTTAACCGTGTTGGCTGAAAGGAATTCATAGAAGTTTTGCATCAAAGTTACAAAAACAGTCACAATATCACTGTCTGGAATTAACAATCGAACTGCTCAGGGTTGTTTAGTTCTGGTAACTATCAGAAGTAATGCTAAATATTTTGGTCCGCTATAGATAACTGTGTCAACAGTATCGACATATTAATCTAACATTAAAAACATCGGCCAGTAATAATTGTCATAAAGAATACTGATGAATAAAGTAATAATGGATTCGGATTACTGACATATATGGCAGGCATATTTATAGATAACTATGGGAGATGAATTGAATATTGAAGCTATAATAAGACTTCTTCGTCGTTTAAAGCATTTCTTTTTGAAGTGGAATGGGAACTTTTGGACATCAGTGTTCAGATGTCCATTAGTCGTAGTGATTAATTATCATTCGGCTAAATTTACTTCTTTTTCCAAAATGCATAAAGTACATTACCATTTACTCTCATCTTACTTCTATCCATTTCCCCACTTATATTGTCAAAAAATTATGTATTATTTAATGTCACTGTACAAAATTTCTTTGAGAATTACCATGTAACTAATTTTTGTGAGTAAAATGTTTAGTAATAGCTTGCAGGCATTTGATTGATTGTAAGTTAGACCACGATATGGAATCATTTGGAAAAGCAATAAAAGGCTGGGAATATCGCCTATTGAACTGCAGGTGTCCATGACTCTATCAGCGATGGAACTCATGACCATGTTATGACGCCAGCTTGTTAAAATGTCAGCGACTAAGACAAGACTCATTCGCTTATTTACCCTGACTCCTACCGATTTGCTACATATTTGTAGCTTCAGCACCAGCCGATCTCACTACGAAGTATTTGTCTCCTCAGCTGACATTGTGGACTTATCTGATTACTAATTCCCTCAAAACTGAAGAAACTACATCCTACAGTCAGTCACTGGTAAGCATTAGATTATTATTCAAGTAATTGTTTGGATAGATTTCAGTGGGCTAAAGGTATGTCCTGTTGAAGAATTCCGAATTCGTGTTCAGTCGTTCTCTAGTTGATGTCAATTAGCCAGCTTATGTGAAATATGTCTCAGTTTAAAGACTGGTAAATATTATCAAATAATTAGACAGACTGTCGACTTCGCTCAGTGGATTCGTAATTTACTAACTTTATACAGTGAGGCAAGCAAGAAAGTTATTAGGGTGAAAGAAGTGAGTGAATTATTGCTATTCATCTTGATTTATAGTTACATGCATAAATCTATGGCTAAGCCTACAGAATTATTAGTAATCTAGAATATTTAACTATATCTAAATAATTGAACTGAATTTTTTGATTTTCCCGTCGATTGATTGGACCGAAGTGCTCGGTCTCAGGTTGACATGTCGGCTTCTTGTGCAGATGCTTCGACGATGTCTGGGCATTTAGTTAGGATACAATTGGTGGATGGTGACTAGCAGTGGAATCCAGGATGCGCATTTCGTCCTATTTGGGACTCCTCAGCTGGATGTACCTGCATTTCTCAGTGAGTGATGATGTACCCACTGAGGCTCGAACCCAGTGCCCATAGTTTCAAACGCCAAAGCGTTATCCACTAAACCACTTGGGCCAGGAGAGCCACCTCTTGTGCAACTAGTCACCATACACCAATTATATCTAAATAAGTCTAACGACTACTAAACACTTATTTTGTTTGACGCGATATAATGATATCAGATTGTTTTAATGAACTTCTTTATTTAAAGCTCTTTGTGATTCAGATAATTTTCTTCACACATGTCAAACCTTTCATTATATTTTACAATGTTTGCGACAGTCAGTAAGTCACTAATATCTTAATAAGGTTATTAGTAGTACTTTTATTACTGACTGACAGACTACTCATAAACAAGTAATACGTCATATGGTATTTCTTATTCAATGTAGATGTCATTACTAATCGGTGTCAGTTAGAGAACCCCTGAAAACATGTATCAATAAACAGGCATCACTGCTTGTTTTAGGACTCTTCATCAGTGGATTTCAAAGACCTTATTAAAGAAAAGCACCTGGAGTAAAGAGATGGTTGCATTACCTTTTCAGGCATTCAGTCGGAATTCCATGACTCATGAATTCTGACGCTTGTAAATTCACAGCATAATGTTATCATCATCCACTACGGAACAATACTTAGGGATTAATGCTCTGTCTATCAGTGACTGACTATAGTATGAAATTCCTGGAGGTTTAATGGTGTCCATTAAGTTTGGTGTAATGACAGATATTTGACATTTGTTGGTAGAGAAGTTGTACAGAGAAATGACTAGAATTGAAACTCTTGGGTTATTGAGTTCCAAATGAATACCTGAAAATGAGATGTTAATTCAATCTTCGGTGGGCTCATAAGTGTGGACCTCTAAAAACGTCTCAAACTAGAACAAGGCAGCTGTCCAGTGCATCCTGGTACTCAGTGGTTCTTCAGCAGCTATCGGTTTATTAGTAAATATGCAGAAACACTAATCAAAATTGAGTATTTGTTAAAATGCAGTAGTGATTTGAGGCATTAATCAACAGAAAGTAAACCGGAAATATTAGATTTCTGCAAAATTTCAAATATTTTCACAACCTGTTTACACATATTGGTAAGATTACACAATATTCCTTATGGCAATATTTAGCTTGGTTGAACAAAACAATGAATTTAAAATTTTGGCTTTTTTTAATGAACTTTACCATTGAAATGAACAATGATGATTACAGGATTTCATCATGCGCTGACATTAGTTAGAGAACCATTGGAAAACATGGGAGTACTGGACACCCATTTCGTCCTAGTTTGGGACTCTTCAGCAGTACTTATCCACCGCCAGGGTTCAAATCCAGGACATTTTGATTACAACACGAGCTTGCAGACCACTAAGCCACTGGAACCCGATCCAATGGCCCATGAATTCGAACTTTTTCTAACTCATGACATAGCGCAACAGCTAGCCAATGTTTTCGGCTCACATACCCGACCTACTGCACCCTACTGGTCATGACTTTCCACTGGAAGCTCAGGTAACTACTCACCTAAATAGGGCCAGTGGTCAGTGAGCATCTCACTGATATTCAAGTATTGATTTGTAGGAATTTGATTGATTGGTTAAAGGATTTCATCATGATGTGCCACCAAGTTGCTAATGAGCTATTCAGCATGAAAAACGTCAGATTATGTAAATGTTAATAACTTAAGGATGATATCAAACTCCAAACTATTAGGTGCTAATAAATGGTCTGTTAAATCAACGCATGTTTCATGATAAACATGTGACTTAAATAAATATTCACATTGGTTGGGCTAGTTGCTGATTCTAAGACGCATATTTGTTCAGTGATAATGACTGACCCAGTCTCAACGCAGAACTTTGCAAAGAAGTCAAGCAGGTCAAGCCACTAAACAAAAGTAAGGAACAGAAAGAAAAAAGAGATTCAAAACGACTCTAATGGGTAGAAATGTACGGGGGGGGTAAAGAGTACTAAATCGTGGCACTGGTTCAGTCAGGGCCTCCATAATTAAACGCCTCGTCAACACCTTTCATCGCATTTCAATTGACTCACCATTCAGAGTCATTTACAATATAAACAAAAGTCTACCAAACTCAATGTGTTTTTGACTATTTTGTACTGCAGAAGCCCTTGGCATCTAAATCGAAAAACCGGAGATGTTCGATCGAAAGAAACTAGTTAAACCCCCATATTTACTTTTGATATATTTTGGTTTGTTTCCTTGAATCCCGTATTTTATCCCTTTCATTTTCCCTTTTCTTTTCCTTTTAAGTTTTTAAAATATCATTCTTTCAACTTGTTCCCATGCTCATTTGAATCACACTTTCAGTCGTTGAAAACTATTTTCTAATCCTGTATAATTTTGTTTCTAAGCCCCTTGTAATCTAATATTCACACCTTCAAACTTTTATGTCAAGTTGAAAATTATTATGACAATTAATCCCCTTCGTTATTATGTTGTTTCCTTTACATTTCCAGGAGAATATAGGGCTTCAAGCTAGTGGCTTGAAGTTTCTGTAGCAGTGTTTAATTTTACAGGATGGGGTTGCAAGCCTCATGCCCAAACTTTCCTCTTTACCAGGATTATTTCTGGCTTAGCGAGGTAAAGGGGTGCGTCGGCTGGGGATCGAACCTCGGACTATGCTATGTGCAATGTCGGCGAGCGTCCTAACCACTATACCACAATTCGTTACCGTGTGGAATTAAATAAATACTAATTGTTTTTATGTAAATTTATGTACATAAATTTTTAGAATTTTTAATATATCTGTTCATTGAAGTTTCTGTAGCTTTTTGGTTAAGTTTTCGGGATGCTAGCACCACGCCCCAACCCAAGGGCGTGGTGACATGGAAGAGATCGTGTGAAGAGGAGTTGAAATAGTATGGACCAACATGGATGCAGGTGAAAAGTACAGCAGAAGGAAGACAGAAGCAAGTGGAGACGTGGAGTTGAAGCCCTATGTTCTACTAGGAACCCAGGGGAACAATAAATAAAAATAATAAAAATGTGTATAAATTCGATTGTACAGCTTTTAAGAAAGAAAAAGTGCTAAATCAAAATAAACACAGATATTCATCTGATCTGGAAAATTGCAAATAATGAATGCATCTTCGCCAGTGAAAACCATTTAAAGCCATTTCAGTAATAGTCGCCATCTATCGGTATCTTTGGCATCCCAAGGACTTCAACTAAACAGTAGAGATTGGCCTGTGTTGGTCAAACCAACTGTCAAATACTGATTGGTGCCAGGTTTTAGTTTTAACAACCTCCTAACTCTTTACCACTTTAATCCCACATAAGGTAGCATTGTTTGTCAAGGAAGGTGGTGGCTTGTATTCAGTGATGCACCTCAAAAGAGTTCGAACTGTTTAACAAATATACAAAGATAATAAATAATACTGAAATACGAATTGACCAACTTACTCATATCTCGATTTGAATAATATATTTTTAATTTTCCTGTTGTTATACCTTTGTGATTAAATTATTATACATATTATATGTTTGCGTATAGAAATTTAATTCACACAGAATAATTGGAAATTCTATTTATATTGAATGTTTAATAATTTTCCCTCTTTGTACTTTCCTTTTTTTCACAGTGTAAGTGTTTAAATTATCGCTGCATTCCTTATCATTTCTTGCTCATCAACAACATCACTAAATTGTAGATGTATCATAAATTTTATCTGCTAATTAAAATTCTTTTCAGTAGATTTTCAGTAATGATATAAAGTTGATGTGAAAAGAATAGCGTGTTTGAAACATTGAAAGTGTCTTTTTCTGTTCACTTCAGTATAATTCTTTTATTTTTATTATCCTGATTATGATTATTTCCTTAAACAGCACACTGTTACCTGATTGGCGGAAATTTTTTTCTTTTTTTTTGGTTTATGTGCTATTCCCATGGTGTGTACATTAGAAGCAAAATAAAGCACAGACTTATTCCTATTGGTAATGATGTACTAAGAGAAGTTCAATGAGATTAAATTAATTTTAGGAGAAATTCTACAATAGTTTTGAATGATTTCAAGTTGGGGAATCAGACATGGACGAAACAGCTTTCTCCAGCACTTTTTAGATTTCAGTGGTTCTCTAAGTGATGTCAGTTACTGAACCGACTTAATTATTGAATGAATACCTACTTTGTGTTTGTATTTATCTTTGAAATAGCATAATGTTCACTAGTATCAGAGGCATAATTATGTGCAGTTAGTTGTATTCTCTGACCTGGCTGGTTTAATTGCGAAGCTTTCGTCGTCCTTCTGGAAAACATCTTCATTGCAAGCTTTAGCATAAAATAAACTGATTTAAATTCCCCATGAATGATAGAATTATGACTCCTGGCGACCATCTTCGTTACTGACAGTTGATTCACATTTGTATTCATCCTTTTTATTGACTTGGATAAATATCCATCTGGAAATAATTATATTAGAAACCACACCTTTTAGTATTATATATATATATATATATATATATATGTATATATAAGATAATAGCTTTATTCCAAATCAGTACGTGTAATACAGAATGGAATTCTCAGCATTTTTACTACAGTATTGCATCCAGTTAGTACGTTAACAATGAATAAAGTTCCACATAGATTAAAGTTATCTCAGTCACTTTTGACAACAACATATTAGCATGTCGGTAGAAAAGCCAAAATTTAAACAGTGTTTGAAGGTGTTAGAAAAGTAGATACTACTAGCATATTTACTGGCGTAAGCGATAGCAAAATGGTCGAGATATACAGAGTGTGAAAAAACGAACAAGAATGTTTTAAGTAGAGTTTGTAAGGAAGAGAGAAACAAAACGGCACATAACAAAAATAAATACAGAAATAGAAAAAAATGGTAGAGAGAAAACGTTGTACCTGTAAATGATGTGAGTTGGAAAGACGAGATCTATTTGTTCTACTGACTATTTAATAAGTTAAAGGTTTCACGCCTAATGCTTTCTTTATCGCACAGAACACGAGCTAGGTAGGGTATGGATGAGTTTTTGTACTTACTAGTGCGGGCATATAGTTTCCTATATAGGCTTCTGGTTTTCCCTGAAGAGATAAATGGGGAGATTTGTGAATGTAGAGGGTGTTGTGAGTCAGATAAAATGGTTTTTGCCCATTTTTCACATGAGTCCATGTGCCTGTCCACCAAAATATTAACAAGCTGGTCAAGTGGCAACCTGCTTACCCTGCTGACAACCTTTAACATCCTACGTAATAAGGTATAGTCTTTCTTCAATAGCCCAGGAAAGACTAAGGGGGACCAATAGAGAATAATAGGCAGAAAGCAAGAGTTAACGAATTGTAAGTCTAAGGGTTGGGTCATTCCAGAATGTCTTAACTTCTTGGTAAAGAAGGTGAGACGGAATATTTTCTTAGAAATCGTCAAGATATGAGACGACCAGGAAAGATCAGAAGATAGAGTGACGCCTAGGTATTTAATTTCCGACTTGGTTTCTATATGAGTGCCATCTATGTTGCACACCTCGTGAGTGCTAACCAGTTTGTTTAGGTCAGATTTGTGCCTAAGGGTGAAATTAACTGTTTGGCATTTGGAGGGGTTTAAGGTGAGACCGTTTTCCTTGAACCATTGGCTGATTTCTGATAAGAAGCCATTTAGTTTAGAGCAGTCACTTTGACATTTGACAGGTAAAGATACAGTTAGGTCATCAGCATATTTGACAAAGTTAATGTCATTTGAAGATGGTAGGTCATGTAGAAAGAAGGAAAAGAGAAGTGGGGAGAGTAAAGCACCTTGGTGGACACCATCTTCAGTGAGCACAGCAGAGGAGGATTCGCCTTTGTATACGGTGTACTGCATTCTGTTTGAAAAGTAGGAATGCAACCAGTTAGTGACCCAGGACTCGGTTTGTGTCATGGAGAGCTTATTTAGCAAGAGACATCTAGGTACAGAGTCGAAAGCAGAAGTGAAGTCAAGAAATGTACAGCGGACATATTTGGCACCTTTATCTAATGATGAGACAATACTGTTGTGTAAGACGGCTGCAGCGTCTAAAGTACTCCTACTCTGTCTGTAGGCAAATTGTTTGGCTCTTCGAAGCTTTTAAGGGAGGGTTCGAGTTTAAGAAGTACTAGTTTTTCCATGAGCTTTAGAAACGGGGAGGTGATGGCAATGGGTCTGAACTTTATGTTCTTGCTATTGCCAGGTTTAGGGACAGGGACTATTTTAATGTCTTTCCATGGAACAGGTACAACGTTTTCGGAGAAAGCGTATATATATATATATATATATATATATATATATATATATATATATATATATACAGTTAATAATACAATGCTATTTTTTGTGTCAAAATGACTTTACTCAGTCAATAACTAATTTTCTCATATACTTTTCTAAAACGTGTAATTTAATAACATTTCTCAGTATTTTAACATTATACAAGTTGAAGGGTTACTTTGCAATGTCTAATGCGTACCGTATGAAAATCAGTCATAAACATTTAGCGTAACCAGCTGTTTTCTTCAGGATCATTCTAAATAATTTTATCACTAATTGTTCTGCTACTTATTTTACTCTGCCAAATAGACTGTAACTTAGTTGCTGTAATACTAGCTACTTTTATACTTTATACTTCTTAAATTAAACGCAATTTCCTAGGCGTTTATAAAAAAAATACTTGTATACATGTATGCATGTATAAAGGTGATACTGCCAAGAATGTCATCAGGTATCGATGTATCCGGTGACCTAATCGGAAGTGCTTGTCATGAAAGCTTTTAATTTACAGCATACTGTATGACTGAGATGGACTCAAAGCAATGCAATGCTGCAACTACAGTTGTTGCAAAAAAAATCTCAGAACTTATCATCAACAAGGAGGGAGGATGGCGCATGCTGATCAGCAGATATGGTAGTGGTCACAAATGTGAATCGCTCCGATCTGTAGGACAGCAACATGCAATTTTTTGACAGCTCGAGAATTAAACATTAGTCTGAACCCTCAAAAAAAGAATAAGGGTTGTACAGATCTAAATTATAAATAAAAAAAGTGGCTTTGCTCCTACCATCTACAAGCCTGCTCAGCTTTTTTTCAAGATGCTACCCATTTCGCCCTACAGAAATTTGTGAGATATCTTACAGGTCAGCTTGTCCTACGGGTTGTAATTTTCCTGATCTTTGAATTCACTCCTCACTCAAATATCACTTACCTACCTCACAATAATCTTTTTATTTATGCACTGTTATACTTTACTTTATGTTAATTACCTAGGCCATCATTAGAGCTAAAGCGTGCTCTTTGTTCGTATTTGTTGCTTGCCCAAAGTCTGGTTGCTTTGATTAAAAACACAACAACACCCATGTTTGAACAAAGCCATATCTTCATCGAGAACATTATAGATTCCATGCTTAGATCAATATGGTCAGCATTAAACATTGCAAATATATCCTATCATTTTAAGTACTATATAATTTCTTTTTCTTGTATTTATCTTGTAAATATACTTCCAATAATGTATTATTCATAACTGCATTTTATACCATTTTGCAGCTGCGTAGAATTTTCTTGTCTTCCTGAAATAGCATTCAACCGCGTGGCGGCATAGCCTTCACCCAGATATACGCTGCTCACTGGTTGACCATAACTATCAGCGGGAAACGGAACGAAATTAGGGTTCTCGCTCAACTTTGATGGTGACCTGAGTAAAAATTTTACAATTTAACATTTATAAGAGCCTGTTCTGATTGCTTGTACAATAACTGAACAATTTAAACTTTTGAAAAAGTATTAATTTTCGATTCTTCAGGATTGTAATTTATAACATTACTGATCGTGCCTGTAAAAATGGCATGCATTTCTTGTAAACTTACCCGTTTATAGAAAATATAAATTATTATTATATGAAGTTTCTTATCACGTGATTTACTTTTTATTAGTTTGTAAATTTGGTCTATATTATTATGTTTGTTAATTGCTGATCCCAATCAAATTTGATTGTCAAAATTTTAAATAGAGTAAACACCAAAAGTGCTGGAGAATTCCTAGAAGCTTGGTACTCAAGCAAATCAGTGATTAATAAACGTATTAATATAGACCAGATTTACCAACTAATAAAAAGTAGTCACGTGATGGGAAAGTTCAAAATCCAAATCAACAAAAATGATCAGTACGTATGTAAATCGACTACCAGTTACGAAGACATTTACCAATTCTATTCTATCATTCATGGAGCATTAAAATCAGTTCATTTTATGCTGGATCTTGCTCCGAAGATGTTTTCCATAAGGACGACGAAAGCTACGCAGTTAAGCCAATCACCTGGGAAAACACAACTAATTGCAAATCACCCACCTGAGCTACAAATCTTCTTTATTATTTCAGGAATAATTACTTATTTTAACTGTAGAATCGCTGTAATTTATGTATAGCTCTGTACACAGTCATGAAGATTTGCACTAGATTTTTGAGTTGTGTGATTTGAATCTCTTCCTAGAGTAGCTTTTAACTATATAATACTATCTGATTATTATGAGTGGTTGGATACTGACTACATCAACCAGTAGTGCATTCCATCCATATCGGACAGCCATTTCGCTGGAGTGGTACTGATCTCATCAGTCTAAGCAGCCTGCTATAATTTGTATAATTTGAACTGATTAGGCTGTCTAAGCTGGGTCAAACAGGGCTCGTTTGCTTTTATTTCTTCGGTTAGCCATGAGAAGTCACTTAGATGTATGTTATAATCCCTTGTGTTATGCTTGACATGTTACAGTGATGATTATTCATAGCCGATACAGTAAACATTCTCATGGTAGGAAT